CCAATTATACACATTGATTATAAAACCTATATCCAGAAAAAGTAAGCCTTTAAGGTCCTGGAAAGCTACCTCTAAATCTTCTTTATATTCTTTTAATTCTACTAGTCTTCAAATAACTTTGTTTTATTATATTATCTCTAAATCTTAGAGTAACTCGTCATCTTCTGGTGAACCCAGTTCCACACATCTACTCCAGCAAAAACCTAAAAACAATAGTACCATATATAATAATGATCAGGAGGTGGGAATGAGAACTATCAATAAGTGACCTGATCCGCCAAAAACTGAACAAAAAGTCAGCCAGAAGCCCAGAGGCCATGGAAGAGGAACAGCCATAAAAACTAGTGCCAGCATAGGCAAACACAACAAACCCTTCCTGGAGACAGACCAGAAACACCTAGAGCCTGGGAGGCAATGAATGCAGAAAGCTCCTGCAAGAAAGCTCCAAGATGGTGAGAAAACCACAGTGGGAATCTGGAAAGAGAAAGAGGAAGGAACCAGGCCAGTTACAGAGGGGCTGTGAGGTCTACACCCCTCTGTCCTGAGACCTCACAGAGGGCCCTGGACTTCTGAACTTCTAAGGTTCAGAATAGGGGTAACCAAGAGAAAGGGAGGTCAGTGGAGTACCACACAAAAGCACTGAAGGAAAAAAGCCTGGCCCTGGCAGAAAGCTCCCTGGCAAAAATAGGAGAGATAAGCAAACAAAAGACACTGCTAGCAATAAAGAATTATTACAGATCCAGAAATATACAAATATTTAATCTACAAGGAAAGAGTAACTCCCTAACAACTGCAAGGAGAGACTCAAAGGAAAAAAATTCATTTTCCACAAAGGGTACATAAAAATCTAGAAAAAAATATAGCAAGTGATTTTAAAAAATGAAATAAAAGTTCTAGAGAAAACAACTGGAAGAAAAATAAACAACTGAGAATAGGAAGTGAGAAACCTTTTCCAAGTAGTAGACTTCCTGAAAATAATTTCCATTTCTATTTCCAAATAACTCTATGAAACAATTTTTAAAATCAAAAGACTGAAAAAAAATAGAAGAAAATATAAGGTATCTGATATAAAAAATAACTCACTGAAAATCAGTGAGAGATACTCCTTAAATGATGGTTCTTAAATCAGCCAACTCTCCAAAAATTATGATTTTTGAAAATCTGTATATCAAGAAATGAAGTGAAAATTGCCCACATCTACTAGAACCAGAGGACAAGATGAAAATAAAAAAGATCTCAATAATGTCATAACCAAAATCCAGAACTTCTAAATTAAAAAACAAAACAAATATTACCAAGGAACTGAAATTGGGATCACAAAAGATTTGGAAGCTTCTACTATAAATGAGAGGAGATTTTGGAATATGATATTCCAAAAAGCAAAGGTTAATACACTTAGAACCAAGAGTTATTTACCCTGAAAATGAATATGATCCTCCTGGGGGAAAAACAGACATTTAATGAAATAGGGGATTTCTAAGCATTTGTGATAAAAAGATAAGAACTGAGTAGGTATTCTGAAATGCAACAAGAGTCAAGAGAAGCTTAGAAAGGTAAATTCATTTGGAAAATTGGAAGCCATTATAAAATGATGAAGTGCTAGCAATCTAATAGGAAGAGGAGAAACAAGTGCCCTGTAGAAAATTTAATGTCTTCAATGGGTATGAAGGGAGTTAAATAAGAAATTTCTTTTGATTTTTATTTTCTTTTGATTTTGATCTGAGTCTGAAGAGGAGACAGAAAAAATTGGGTAAAAGGAAGACACGAGAGTAGAAAGGAGAAAGAAGACAGAAGTTACTATTTTCATAAGTGGGATATGTGTGAAAGTTTAAAAACAGAGAGGAAGAGTTGAGGGGAATGATCATTAGAAGGACCTCATCATATCAAAACTGAACAAAGAAAGGTTGCACATGTGTAAGTATGCATGTACACATATACACCAACTACAGTATAAAAATATCAAACTCAACAGGGTCAGACAGAGATAGGGAGAGGTGGAGTTAAGTGGAAGATACTATCAGGAAGGGAAAAATCATAAGCAAAACAAACTCAAATGTCCAAGGATGGATCCTGAAGGAGAGACTAAAAGGGAAAAAACAAGAAGAAAACTGAGGAACGATATAAATGTAACAGAATATTACTGAGCTGTAAGAAAAGACTAAAGATGACTTCAGAAAAAACTGCAAAGCAAGAACTGATGCAGAGTGAAGGGAACAGAACCAGGAAAACAACTTATACAATGATAACAACATTGTAAAGAAAAACAAGTTTTAGACACTTAAAAACTCTGACCATTGGTTCAGATGACCACATTACCCAACTCCTGACAGACAGGCATAAAACTCAAGGTACGGAAAGACATATACATATTTGAATATGGCCACTATGTGAAATTGTTTTGCTTGACTCTGCTTATGTGTGACAAGATGGGGCTTTGGTTTTAAAATAATCAGATTCATTCTGTCTTTTATTAATTGATACTATTTACAAAATATTGATTTTGTCCTGTAACTTGCCTAAGTCATGACTTTTTTGTCTCTGAACTTAATTCAGAAATGTAGCCAGTCTGTATGTAATGAGTTAAGTTTAGAAATCCAATTCTCCTGTTAACCACTGTTCTATCCTTGTGTCAAGGAAATCGGTTACCCTTAAAGGATGCAGGTGGACATCAGGGAGACTAGTCTAGTATTTTTACACCACCAAGCTATCCTTCAAGGGTGTCTGGTTTGTAATCCAAAGAAGTCTGGTTTGCTATCTCTGTCCTTACAGATGCTGCTAAACTCAAACAATGAACATTTCTTAGCCACAGGAGGGAAGGAGGGAGTTGTTCCTAGCCCTCATTCCCAATTTCCATCCAATCAGATTTTCTTCCATTTATGATTCTTCCTTCCTATTTTCTGTACTCCCCAAAACTATAAAAAGTGCTATTAACCCCATAACTGGGTTTTAGCTTTGCTGGGGAAGCTGAGATCCTATTTACTGGTAAATTCATGCTTTACTAAGAAACTGATCATGCTCAGAACTTTGTGCCTTAGTTTACCATAATTGTTTTTAATTGCTACAGTTTGTTCTCTCCTTCTCCCTTCCCCCCCCCCCATTTTTCACTGGGGTGGAAGAGAGAAGGGAATAACAAAAATGATCAAGACAAGTAAGGGGAAAAGAGAAGGTGGAAGAAGGGATCACTGAAATTTTCTTTAAATGCATTTACGAAAATAGAAGAAAGTCAAAAAGGATGCAATGATAAAGCAGTTTTGAAAGTAATGAGTTGAATTTATTACATACTTTTTGAAAACAGGTAGTATGGAATAGAATCATGGTTTCATATTCAATTCTCTTTTTGTGTTCTACTTTGTATATGGATATGCTTGTAAATATTTTGGAGAATGTTTCTTAAGTTCAGAATAAAATATTAAATTAAAAATCTCACTGAAATTGCATGCCCTACTTAAATACAGTGATTGTATTGTAAAAATCAAACACTGATCTTATATTTTATATATGATTCCACTCTGTAATTGATTCTATTCTATGACCTTATTCTGTATTTTATAAGCCTTTTCTTTGTCTCTGAGTGAAGAATTTCATTAGTTCACAAGTTCAGTCTTCCTCTCACAAGTTAGATGCCAAAAGTTTAGTCTCCCTATTGATCATTTTTAATCAAAGAAAAATTCTGAGCTAAGTTTAGAAGTTCAATACTTTCATAAAACACTTTAATGCTAAGGGAATTGTTATCTCAGCACCACTTGAAAATCGCTTTGTGTCAAGGAAACTTTTTGTTCCTCATAACTTTTATTTCCTGAGAAACTCCATGACATCTGTGTGCTATCTAGGGCTTACAAAATCACCTGGCCCCATCTTAGCCCATCCTTGTCAATTAAAAGGGGGTCTTATCTCATTCCCAGGAGCCAGTGAGTCTGGCCCACTTTCAATAGCCTCAGGATGCAGCTGGGTCCCATAAATCAATAAAGCATTACTCTAAGACAGAGAGAGAGGTGGTCCTGGTCCCACATGTAGGTAAGCCCATGTTCCTTAATGTAACCAATCATAATTCCTCACCCCCATGATGCTGCTAACCCCTATAATCAATTGTATTATATCCTCACCTAGTCTGTTTTGTTCTTTGTTCTATGCTTATAAAAAGAAGTTGCATCACCCTCTCAGAATCTTTTGGCTAAGGCAGTCATTAGATCCACTTTATCACCAGGGTCAGGCCCTGCTAATAAACTGTTATCTTCCTTGGAAAATATGGGCTTCGGTCTACCTTTGTCTAATTTTACTTGCAACAGTATAAACTAGTTAATGTTTCCACTTATCTGACTTAATTTTTTTAATTCCCATTTTTAGTTTTCATAAATATTCAGTAGAAAGTCACTTTATTCTCTTGTTTAATCACATCTAAAGGAAAGAAACCTTGGCTTCATGAGGTCACAACTAAGACCATCATTCATACAACAGCTATGTATAGTATAACTGCAAGTACCAAAAAGGAACAATCAGCAGTTTCTTGTGTACTACTTCATACATCTAAAGCTATAAAATGATAGCAAATATCTGTTGTTATGTTATTTCTGATAGTTTTACTTGTAAATTTTAAGATGGGCTATATAGGAGGAAATATTATTCTAAAGAAGATAAAATTGCTAATGTAGCAAGAATTCGACAAATATTTGGAAACCCAGAGTTAACCATTTTCAAAAATCTACACCTTTAAATTCTAACTTAGTTACACATTATTTAGCCACCTGAGATCTTTGATTTGAATATGTTGGATAATATTTAAGCCAAATTTTTCATTTTGAAAAACTTATAGTGTTTTTACCATTTGTTGATGTGATTATATGAGGTTAATATTAAGACTGCTTCATTAGTCTTATGTGAATAATGATTAACTGAATTATGTGAATAACAATTAAGATCTGAGTATAAGAAAAAATAAAATTTTCTTTCTTTTCTACAGCTAAAATATACAAGTAGTCAATTGCACAGTATTTTGTTCTTACCTGAATAACCATATATCTCAATAATACTTGAAGAAAAAAGCAGGTTTGGTCCTCACCAATTTTTTCACCTGATACAGCTGGCACGAGTGGAGTTATTTCTTCAGGATGTATCTTTGCTAAAATGTGAATCATAATTAAATTTTATTAAAGCTAAATTTTAATAAGGTAACAGAAAGCAAGGAATCCAGAGTTATCAATAACAATTTTAAAAAATAAACTTCTAATCCTATGGCATATAGGATTATTTAAATGCCTTCCCAGTACAAAAACTTCTGCATCATCACTTCTATTCATCCATTCTTAATATTTCTAATTTTACTCAGGCAACCACATTTCGCAAAGACATTTCTTTCACCTTGAAAAAAGAAGAAACATCATCTATTGCTTTTTTATTTAAATTTTCAGGAGCTAATTGCCCACCCCCTAGACCTCTTTAGATGGTTCTAAACTGAAGGCCCTAATGACTAAGAAGGAATGCTGAAGAAGGGAGTAAAGTTTACATGAGAAGATGAATTTGATATGAATTCAATGTTCTGTCCTTAAGTAAATGTACCAGTAGCATGAATTATTTGTTCTTATAACAATCTCTTATAGATATTCTATGAACACTCCATTTTAATTGATCCCTAATACCCTACCATGATACCCAGACCTGATATAAGGGCAAGTGGGCCACAGTGGAGAATTACAAAGATGAAGTGGATGGAGAGGTCTCCAAATAATAGGACTTAGCTTAATGAAGCTTGACACCAGGTAAAGGCCCAGCATTGCAGCAAAGAGTCCCTCTAAACCAAAAAATGGCTTATAAAAAATATGCTTCTTTTAAGAACCTAGGGCCTGTTATGAAGCATTGGTTTCTTCAGCAAGCTAGGCCCTGAACACCAAAGGTCCTCTTCTAGGGCCACAAACTCACTATCCTTCCAACTCTCATGCCTATGTAGAAAATACTAACTTTAGATCTCTGATCAGCTTCAGATTTCCCTAAGCAAGCCTCAGTACTCTTCAGAAACACCACCAATATCAGTCTCACATATTACCAGGAACAGGCCTCTTAGAACCTCATCTCATACAGGGCAACTTGGTAGACACAAGATATCACAAGTTTCTCCTGATAACATAGCCCCCTTGGCTGTGCTTTCACTTATTTCCTTTTTTTTGCCTCAGTGGTTGAGGCAAAGAAGTTTAATGCTCCTCGCTCCCCATGGCCCCTTCCAGGTTTTCCTCCTACCTCCTACCTCCATCATTGTCCTCTTTTGACATCAATACAATCCTCATCTTCCAATCAAAATCCTAATAGTTGTTGACTAAAGATCTCCAGCACATTCTCTCTCCTTCCTCAAAGAGTTCAATACCTGGCTCACAGTATTTCTCTCCTTCCCAACTCATATCCTCATAAAGGGGGACTTCATCATAACACCCTAACCATCAGTTCCCCAACTTACTCTCTTCCCATGACCCACTCCTCTACCCCACCTCAACCACACACAAAGATGGCCATACTCTTGATCTTGCTGTCATCCACAAATTTACCACCTACATATTCAAGAATTCTGAAATCCCTTTAGCTGACCATAATCTATTGGTTTCTCTCTTTTCTAAAAAAATTTATTTTTAAAAAATTTATTTTATTTTCAATTCATGGAACAAAACAAGCATTTCCATAACACAGTACAATAAAAAAGATGATTACACATGAAACTGCAAATCTGCCATGTACAACTTGCTATTCCCTCCAAGTATATAACAAAGTTATCAGGTAAATTTCTTTTTTTTCCCTTTTTTTCTTCACTTCCCACCCCACCTATGTATGTGTTTGTGTATACATATATATTTATAAATTATTCTATACATACTTATATTTATCCTTTCTTTCTCTGGATGTATATAGTGTCTTTCTTCATATGTCCTTTGTTTTTAATTTGTGTATTTATAATAGTCAAAATGACTTAGTCACTCAAAGTCATTCATAAAACACTACTGCTGTTACTGTATACAATGTTCTCTTGGTTCTGCTCACTTCACTCTTCATCACTTCATACAAGTCTCTCCATGCGTTTCTAAGATCATTGAACTCATAATTTCTTATAACACAGTAGTATTACATCACAACTATATAACACAACTTGTTCAACCATTCCCCAATTGATGGGGATCCCTGGAATTTCTAGTTCTTTGCCGCTATAAAGAGACCCACTATAAACATCCATCCCATTCACATTTAAAGTTATAATTACAATTTCCTGCCATGTTATTTTTACTATTTTCTTTCTCATTCTCTCTTTTTACCCTATCCCTGTTACCTTGTCTTCTCCTTGCACCCTCCCACCACACCACTTCACCCAGTCCTCCAAAAGTCCCCCATCCACTCCCCCAACCCCCAATCTCAATCCATATACCCCTCCAAAAGTCCCCTCCCTCTTTCTTCCTTTATCAGATTTTTACTTTTTGTTCACATTATGACGTCTAATCTCTTGATCCCTCAGTTCTGTCCCAGGTCATCACCTTTTCACTATCAACTTTCTCCTCTTTTCCCTATCTTGATCTCTTGGTGAACCAGTTTAACTCTACCCTGTCCTCTTCTCTAAAGTTCCTGGCCCCCTTAAAATATCCTGACACTCTTCCTACCTACTAATGGTATATGCCCCACAGGGCTCTGTCCTGGGTCCTCTTTTCCCCTCTTCTTCTATAGTACTTCACTTTGTGATCTCATCAGCTCCCATGGATGATTCTCATCATAAACACAACCTGTCCAAAATGGAACTTAGGATCTTTCCCCCTTAACCCTCTCCCCTTCCCAACTTCACTATTTCTCTCAAGGGTACCACCATCCTCCTAGTCTTCCAGGCTTGCAATCTAGGTGTCATCCTTGACTCCTCAGTCTCTCTCACCCCCTCATATCCAAGCTGTTGCCAAGGGCTGTCAATTTCATCTCTGCAATCTCTCGAATACACCCCTCCTTCTCTCCTTTGAAACTACCAACACTCTAGTGCAGACCTCATCACCTCACATATAGACTTTTGAAATAGCCTGCTGGTGACTTTGCCTGCCTCAAGTATCTCCCTAACTCATCTGTCCTCCATTCAGCAACATTTCTTAAAATGCAGGGTTACTCATGTCACCCCATACTTAAATTCCAATGGCTTCCTATTAACTACAGGATCAAACACAAAATTGTCTGTTTGGGGTTCAAGGCCCTTCATAACCTAGCATCTGCCCCATATTTCCAATTTCCTTACAACTTATTCCTCACCATGTACTCTTCAATCCAATGACAATGGCTTCCTTGAGATTCTATAAACAATACACTTCATGTCTCAGTCCCAGGTATTTTTTCTGGCTGTCTTCCATGCTTGGAATGCTCTCCTTTCTCTTTTCTATCTCTTGTTTCTGGCTTCCTTCAAGTCTCAACTTAAATTCTACCTTCTACAGAAAACCTTTCCCAATAACTCTATAGCTTGTCTGTACATATTTGCTTCCTTGTTGTCTCCTTGATTAGATTGTGAGCTCCTTGAGAGCAAGCACTAGTTTTTGCCTCTTTTTGTATCTCCAGCACTTAGCACAGTGCCTGGCATGTAACAGGCACTTATAAATGTTGACTGACTGACTGATGAGCCAATCACAGTTTCGATCCCACCTCTACACCAAAGACTATTGCTATCTACATTCCCAGCCTTAACTTCTCTAAACTCCAGTCTCATTATTTCCAACTGCAATCTATATTTCTTTCTACCTAGATATCTTACTATACTTCAAGTTCAACAAATACAAAACCAAACTTATCATCTTTACCTCCCAAAATCTGTGGCATTCCGTAAATTCTCTATCACAGCCACACAGATTTGAAACCTTCAGACTAGTACAATGAACTGAATGTTTGACCATTCCCTATTCTTCATGCCTCCATACCCAATTAGTAGCCAAGATCTGTCTTACTACCCCTCTGTTTCTTTGTCTCTCTCCCTGCCCATCTTTCTCATTCCCACTCAAACCATCTAAGTCAAATTCTGACCCCTTTTTTTTGCCTGGAGTACTTTAAAAGATTCAACTGTTCCGCTTTTCCACAGCTTCTATCCTCCCTTATCCACCCTTGATACCACTGCCCAAGTAATCTTCCTAATACACTGCTTTGATCACACCAGTCCCCTGCTGAAAAATCTTTAATGGCTCCCTATTGTCTACCTAAAGGAAATATAAATCTATTTTATCCTAATGTTGAAGGTCCTCCAGGAGTAGTTTCAACCTTCTACTCATCTTCATTCATTTTACTAATCTAACTGTATGATATATCATGGCCTTATCCTACCTTCATCTGCTTCAATTCATATCCTTTTCTGTCCTTAAAATGGACTCCACTCCCATCTCCACCTAATGAAATTTCATCTCAGGCAATACTTCTATGAAGCCTCTTCCCATCCCCTAGTAGAAAATGCCATCTGTCTCCTCAAATTTCTAAAAGCATTTTGTTTGGTTCATTCTTTTGTACTTTTTCACATTATGCTCATATTAGAGACATTGAAAGACTTCACTAATCCACCATCCCCCATTAGACTGCAAGGATTTTTTGAGGGTAGGGATGGTGTGGTATTTTATCTTTGTATCCTCAGTACTTAAGCATAATACCTTACACATAGGAGTCATCTAATTAAGCTGTGATGAATTGAACTGAATTCCAATGTTCAATTTGACAGACAGTAGTGGGAGCAACAATACAGAATAGTTTAAGTCAGGAAATTCAATGCTGTTTAGCATCTACAAAAAAAATATTGCAGTTAAACTGTCCAAAACAAAAAAGCTATAATTTCTCCTTAACATACTTATAGTTTCATCCTGGGAACTATTCTCTATGTTTAAAAAAATAAGATATTGTTCACTCTGACAATGAATGAATGAAAAAGTATTTATTAAATGCTTTCTATGTGTAAAGCACTACACTAAACACATAAACTTATATATAACATTATATATATGACATATATTAACCTATACTGTGGCTGGTGAAAGATGAAATGCCTGAGAAAACAAAGGTTTGAGCTTCTAAGCAAATTGATATATTAAGCAATGCATGCTAGTTGCCCAATAAATCAGTTTCAGTCTTTCTTCAGCTTTAGTACTGGACCTTGAATACAAAGGGAAGCAAATTTTTATTCATTAAAAACAATGAAATAAAACCAATTAATTTTAAAAAATTAACCATGATGTAAAATTAGGTCATCTGATTTCTAACTGGAGGAAATATTAGGGACTTTCCAAAGTGGGAGAAGAACAGCAGACAGGTACAATTCTCTGAAATCAGAAAAAGAGGTGTCCCACTTCTCCCAAGTGTCTGTCTTCAATCAAAGGAATATGGAAACAGTAACTGACTAGTATGGAGCCAATTTTCATATAAGACATATAGGTTGCTTGAGATATATAACTGTGAGAAAATTCCTCACATTAATCTTAGATCTGAATGGGTTTCTGGTCAGCATAACATAGGTCCTTAGTTAAGGGTCTGTAAGCAGTAAGTAGAGGTAGTCCAGCTTCCTAACCACACAGGGCTAGGTTCAAATAATGAAATAAAGTTTTCTCATGATTCCCACAATATGCAATGCAAAAAAGTTTTCTCATAAGGCAGAAAGTGGAATAAACCCATAACTGAATGGAAAGGAAAATTTGCTAGCTCTAGAACTGAGTCATAAGATGGAGTCACTCAATTACCTCAATATAAAAGTATTATCTCTATATAAAAAAAAGGTATTGTTCACTCTGAATAAACTAATGAAAAGGCATTCATTAAATGCTTTCTATGTGTAAAGCATGACACTAAAGGCTGCGGATATAAACAGAAAAGTAGGACAGTCCCTTCTTTCAAGGAGCTCAAATTCTAATAGGGATGACAACTCATAAGTTTCAGCAGCAAGTTTAACGTAAAGGCCGAGTGGTCCTTAGGGTACAGTAACCAGCAGATGGCAATGCATCTTATTTAGTGTCATTTCTATTTATAATACCACAAGCATTTCTAATGTGGATGGTACCAAGGGTTTTGGTGGTGAAAACTTTCTTTTCTGGGTCTTCAGTAGCCATCTTTAATCCTTGCAGATTTTGTTGTAGAATCTATCTTTCACAAGAGAGACTTGCTCATGATTTATACTCACAAGTTAAATAAGTCCACAAATGTAAAGGATAATTTCAACATTCGGTAATGTTACTTACTATCAGATGAAAAAGGAGTAGGATTTATAAGTGTGTCAAGTGTACAGGGACCTCTTGATGACATAATTGCTGGAAATCCAGGTACAAGGCAGGCAAAAATTAGCACCTGCTCTTCTGCACAATTCGTCTGAAGTGCCTGAAGCCACAGAAGATACAGCCGGATTCCTTCACATCTTATCTAACAAACAACAAAAATATTTTCAGAAATTATTCTTCATGTAACATCATCATAGTTTTGCAATGAAAAATAAACTAAATGGAAACTATATAAAAACTAATACTATTGGTAACAAACAAGTACTACTTAGAAATAAAGCATGCTGGCAAATTCCCTTGATCACTTCCTAATGGCAAAAATAAGCCATCTCTCTCCACCGCCCCCATCAAAATTATATCTTGTTTAACCTAAAAGTATGTATTTGAGTTAAACTATAGATGTATATGATACTCAGAGAATTCACATTTCAAAAAAAAAAGGAAGCTACAACAAAAACCTAACCAATCAAGAGCTGGAAAACTCTCTAATTTCCCTATTCTGCTCTCTTTATTTAATTCCTTCTTGCTTGCCACTGTATTCTGAGGATGGATTTATAAAATCCACAGTTTATGAATTATGGATAGTTAATGGATAGTTTATAAAATCCCTGGGATTTATAAGATCTTTCTCCATTTCTACTTTCTAATGGACACAAATTTAAGTAGAATTATAATAAAAATCAGAGTTGAATAGGCAGATATAACAGTTTCTATTTATATGGTACTCTGCAGTTATAATACATCCACTATTTCATCCTCACCATAACCTTATACGTTAGACAGTAGAAATATTTTTATTTTACAGATAAGGAAACAGTGACCCAAAAAATTATAATGGTTTGTCCAAAGTCACACAATTATGGGTAACAGAGAAGTAAGTACAAATGATTCAAGTCCAGTGTTTTTTCTACTACTGAACAACTTATCTGCTGCTTTTAACATTACTAACTATTGAAGCAGCTAGGTGGCGCAATGGATAGAGCACTGGCCCTGGATTCCGGAGGACCTGAGTTCAAATCCGCCCTCAGACACATAACATTTACTAGCTGTGTGACCATGAGCAAGTCACTTAACCCCATTGACTAGCCAAAAAAACAAAACAAAAAAACATTGCTAATTATCCCCTTCTCCTAGATACTCTCTCTTCTCTAGATTTCGTGACACTGTTTGACTCCTTACTCTCTTTCTTCCACTTATCCAATCAGTTGCCAAAACTTGCAATTTCTATCTTTACTACATCTCTCACATCAGATCACTTTTCTCCACTTACAAAGTTACCATCTAAGCACAGGCTTTCACCACCTCTCTCCTAGATAATTCAACAGCCTTCCTCTGCCTCTAGCCTCTCCCTACTGCAGTGCATCCTCTCTCTACACTTCTGCCAAAGGGATTTTCCTTAAAAACAGATCTTGCCTGTGTAATTCCCCTACTCAGCCAGTTCTAGTTACTTCCTATTGCTTCTAGGATCAAATCTAAACTCCTCTGCTCGGCTTTTAAAGCCCTTCAGATTCTGGCCACTGTCTTTCCAACACAAGGGAATTCATTCCTCCTCCCATACTCAGCAATCCAATCAAACTGGCTTTCTCTCCATGTCTCACACACAGCATTCCATCTCTTATCTCTTTGCCTGTATATCTACATGCATTCTCTCCTTATCTCTATCTCCATAGTTTCTCTCTTCCTTTAACATGCAGCTTAAACACTATTGTCTACATAAAACTTTTCTGGATTCCCACAACTACCTTGTATTTAACTACGTTGTACTATATGTATACTATATATTCATTAACATTAGATTTTTGCTACATAAATATGTATTTACATATATATGGATGTATATGCATTTCAGTTACTGTTTGTCTACCCTTCAGAATGAAAGCTCATTATGAGTAGGCACCATTTCATTCTTTGGTTCATTCATTCATTCAGTCACTGGTTCTCCAGTGACTAGCACAGTACCTGGCACAGGAAAAGAACTATAACCACTCAAAGGATTTTGGCCTGTCCATTCACATAGGAAAGATTAAGTGGATGAAAAATTTCTACCGCTCAAAATTCAGCATGCATTTTAGTAAGCACCTTATTTTCAAAACTATGTATATCTTGAAACGACAGTACAAGTGGACAATAAACAAGCTGAGTCCAGAATTGAACAAGAGAAGACCAGTCTAGATTGCTTTTGTAAAAACTCAAATCTCTTTTACTGACCCCAATTTTCCCATGAAAACAAAGGTTCATTTTTTCAATACTAACATTTTATTGATATTGCTATACTACTGTGAGACACATTATGTAACTGCCTCCAAAGAATTAAACATAAGCACTACACAGAAGACAATGAAGAGGTAAATAGAAGATGTGAACAAGACGCAACATATAACCAAAGTGGAACTCTGAAGAACAGGAATAAAAGACATTATCAAGAAATTATATGATAGGAAGAGAAGATGAGGTGATCACATGGCAAGAACAAAGGTTGAAATTTGGATAAACGAAGTATATAAATATTACCCTCAGGAAGTCAGAAGAATGCAGAGAAGGACTGCAACGTGTTGTGTGGACTCTGTGTGGTGAAGTTTTGAGAGGATACAATAAACAAGAGTCCCACAGAATATATATGTATGTATGGGTAACAATCCAAATGGTTGAAGGGAATTCCCAAATCATTGAGATCACATATCCATTTGAGTCAAGTTACATCAAGTCAATAAGCATTTATTAAGCACCTATCAAGTACCAGGTACTGTACTAAAAACTGGGGATATAAAGAAAGGTAAAAACAGGCTCTGCCCTCAAGACACTGACAATCTAATGGGGAAGACAACATGTAAAAAGCTATGTACAAACAAGATATACACAGGATAAACTGAAGATTATCTCAGAAGGAAGGCACTAGCATTAACTTCCTTCTGTTTCTATTTAAAAAATAGATATGTTAAGGATAAAAAGTCAGACTGACAATTACATTTAACTTACCCTGATTACTATAGTTCCTGAAAACCCATAGCTTAAAAGATACAAAACCATTAAATCCCACTGATGTGTTCTGCCACACTTTTCCCACTTTTGTTTTTCACTGATGCTGGGTCTCCTTCTGTCATTTACATGAGGATTATGAAGCTCACCCACTTTTTGTCAGTACAATACTGCCCAAACCTAGAGCCAGCCAGCAAAATCTGGACAGGATTTTGAGACTCTTTATCTGAAAGATATTCTTTCACTAATACAAACAAACCAACTACAACAATGACATAACAGAGATACTGGAAAAGAGGAGGATCACAGGATGGGAAAGAAATCAGCAATAATAAGAGCCCTGGAAAGAAAAGAGTACTTCCAAATTTATAAGAATACAAGTCATTCCCCAATTGATAAATGGTCAAAGGATATGAACAGGCAGTTTTCAGATGAAGAAATTAAAGCCATCTATACTCAAATGAAAAAATGCTCTAAATCACTATTGATTAGAGAAATGCAAATCAAAACAACTCTGAGGTACCACATCACACCTATCAGATTGGCCAACATGACAAAACAGGAAAATGAAAAATGTTGGAGAAGATGTGGGAAAATTGGAACACTCATGCATTGTTGGTGGAGTTGTGAAATGATCCAACTATTTTGGAGAGCAGTTTGGAACTATGCCCAAAGGGCTATAAAAATGTGCATACCCTTTGACCTAACAATAGCACTTCTAGGGCTGTATCCCAAAGAGATCATAAAAATGGGAAAAGGACCCACATATACAAAAATATTTATAGCAGTTCTTTTTGTGGTGGCAAAGAATTGGAAATTGAGGGTATGCCCATCAATTGGGTTATTCATATAACCACAAGTTATGGTATATAAATGTAATGGAATACTATTGTGCTATAAAAAATGATGAGCAAGCAGACTTCAGAAAAACCTGGAAAGACTTGTATGGACTGATGCTGAGTGAAATGAGCAGAACCAGGAGAATGTTGTACACAGTAACAGCCATGTTGTGTGATGACACAATGTTGATAGACTTAGCCCTTCTCAGTAATGCAAGGATCTAAGACATCTCCAAAGGTCTCATGATGGAAAATGCTATCTATATCCAAAAAAAGAATTATGGAGTTTGAATGCAGATTGAAGCGTACTATTTGCTATTTTTTTCTTCTGTTTTGTTTTAGTCCCTCTTTCTGGTGGTTCCTCTTATTGGTTCTAATTCTTCCTTACAATATGACTAATATGAAAATATATTTAATAAGAATGTATATATATAGCCTATATCGACTGCGTGCCATCTTGGGGAGGGAGAGGGAGAAAATTTAAAACTCAAAAGCTTATGGAAGTGATTGTTGATAAATCAACATAAATTAATAAAAAAAATTTTAAAAAAGAAAAGTGTACTTCAGGGGGAAAAAATAAACAGCCCAGATTCGAGTCAAGATAAAATAAATTCATATACTGAATTACTTGACAAAATGGAAGTTTTAATTTTTTAAAATAAGGTTATCTTCAATATTTAAGAGATATTAAACATAACATATACTAATTGTATAAGATTTTAAGAAAGCCTTCTCTTTATATCATCCATAATGAATTTAGAAAAATTAACATGTCAAGTTTTAAGCTGCTGCAACTTTTTAAAATGATTAGCTATATGTGAATTACCCTCAGTAAAATGCTAGTCCAAAAGTAAGTGAATACCACTAAATAAGTTTCTAGACCATATTCTGGGACTTCATCAATTGGTATATCCTCTTAAAACAAATTCATTTTATTATAAGCCTAAGAAAAGCATCATCTAGAAGGTAAATCTGCTTCAAAGTAACCAAGTGTTCCAAAGCTTCTATTCAGTTTGTCCGTAATACCACCCTCCTTTATTAGTTTATGGATAAAGGTCTTTAACAAGAGAATTACTGCATTATAAAACCTAAGAATCCAAGAATTTAGTGTAAAAAGGAATCACAGACTTCATCTCATCTAAATGCTCATTTGAGACAAGAAAACTGAGTTTCTAAGAGTTTAAGAGAGTTGACACACAGGGACAAAATATGAACTAAAACCCAGGTCTCTCAGCTCCCAAAATCCAATACTATTTCTACTACACTCAATAAACTAAAGCATAGATCATCATAAAAATTTTTCTATGAAATAAAAACATTAATGTTCTTTTTCAAATTTTATTGATTAGCAATATACCAAATTAAAATCATATTTTAAAAAGTTAGTTGAAACAATTAATGCTTTTAGCAAAGTAATAGGATATAAAGTAAGTCCACATAAATCATCAGCTTCCTATACGCTACAAACAAAACTCTGCAAGAAGAGACAGTATAAAATACCCCATTTAAAATAACTAGACAGTATGAAACACCTGGGAGTATACCCACCAAAACAAACCCTGCAACTATATAAACAAAATTATTATTTTTTATATAAATAAAATCTGATTTAAATAACTAGAGAAATATTAATTGTTCATGAGTAGGCAGGGCCAATATGATAAAAATGAAAATTTTACCCAAACTAATTTATATATTCAGCACTATCCTAATTAAATTACCAAAAAAATTCTTTTACTGAATTAGAAAAAAACGATAAAATTCATTTGGAAAAACATAAAGTCAAGAATATCAAAGGAAATAATGAAAAAAATGTAAAGGAAGGAGGTTTAGCAGTAACAGATCTTACTCTATATTATAAGGCAGTAATTATCAAAACTATCTGGCACCAGCTAAGAAAAGGTTGATCAATGGAACAGACTAGACATACAATTTATAGCAATTAATAAACATAATAAGCTTGTATCTGACAAATGTAAAGACTTAAGATTTGGGGATTAAGAACTCATTATTTGGTTAAAAAAATTGTTGGGAAAACTGGGAAGCAATATGGCAGAAACTAGGCACAGAACAATATCTTCCCATTTACCAAGATAAGGTCAAAATGGATACATGACCTAGATATAAAGAGAGATATTAAAAGAAAATTAGAAGAACATGGAACATATTACTTATCAGACTTATGAGTAGGTGAACAATTTATGAATAAACAAGAGATAGAGAGCAAAGTTGTGGGTAAAATGGATAATTTCAATTATGTTAAATTAGAAAAAGGTTTTGTACAAATAAAACAAAAGTAACCAAGATCAGAAGGAATGCAGAAAATTGGGGGGAAATTTTTATAGACAGTTTATCAGATAAAAGTTTATCTAAAATATATAAAGAACTTGGTAAAATCTATAAGAATACAAGTCATTCCTCCACTGACTAGTGGTCAAAGGATATGAACAGGCAGTTTTTAATGAAGAAATCAAAACAATTTATTGTTATAAGAAAAAATGCTCTAAATCCTTATTGATTAGAGAAATGCAAATTAAAACAACCTTGAGATATCATTTCACACCCACCATGTTGGCTAAAATGATAGAAGGGGAAAGTGATAAATCCTGGAGGGTATGTGGAAAAATTAGGACACCAATTCATTATTGGTGGAATTGTGAACTGATCCAACCACTGTGGAGAGAAATCTGGAATTATGCTCAAAGACTTAGCAAACTACGTTTGACCCAGCAATACCACAACTTGATCTATTTCCAAAGATGATTAGGGAAAAAGGAAAAGAATCTACATGTTCTAAAATGTTTACAGCAGCTCTCTTTGCAGTGGCAAAGAATTGGAAATTACAGGGATGCTCATCAATTGGGGAATGGCTGTACAAGTTGTGGGAGATGATTGTGATAGGATGCTGTGCTATAAGAAATGATGAGCTCAATGATTTTAGGAAAACATGGAAAGATTTGCACAAAATAATTAAGAGAGAAATAAGCACAGCCAAAAGAACACTGTATACAGTAACAGCAATATTGTTTTAAGAATGACTATAAGCAAGTGTTATTATTACTATTACAAATTTATAATATTATGAATATTACAAATGTTGTGTATTTGAAAGGAAAAACAAGTTGTGCATAGTAGATTTGCAGTTGCATGTGTAATCATCTTTTTTACTGTACTGTTATGGAAATGCTTGCTTTATTCTATAAATTAAAATTGTTTTAATTAAAATAAAAATAAAATCATATTTTAGGTGAAATTTTTAAAAACTGTCGCTTCAGAGCACTGATGACGTGAAAAGTTTGAGATTCTGCTTCCATCTGAGATAAGTACCTTAACAGAATTTCCAGTGTGCAAAAGCTTCTTTAGAGTCGATCCTAAAATGAAAAAAGATGCATTTATAATGGAGGAATTCACATATAAAGTCAATATCTTCTAGCAATAATTTAAATATTTAAAATGAAAAAAGTAATAGCCTTTTTAAAAAGTTCTAGACCTAATAAGTAAGTAATGAAAGAAAAAAAGTTTGATTCACACTCAACCAAAGATAAAAGTTAATATTAAAAAATGGAAGTGACCTTCAGAGATGAATACCTGTTATAGACAGAGAGACCTTTTAAGATAATTCCATTTTAATTATGTAAATTGTCAAAAGCCTTTCCTGAGGTCCAAAAGCATTTGATACTATAGGAATCTATTTAACCACGTTGGATTTTATGTAGTACTTATCTCTTATCATGCATAAAAATGAATGATATATAAATCTCCAAAGGTAAAAACATGAATTAATTTTCAAAGTCAACTAATGTTCACTTAGAACCAATTTAAAAATATTAAAACTTGTGAGCTACTTTGCTAGCATCAGCACCCACAATTGTGGGCCGCGCTATATTAATAAATTGTATAACACAGCATCTTGGTGACGAACACTGAAACTTACAGGCAGTTGCACCAATAAAATGAAGTAGCCCTTTGTGCTACATCCCACTAACAATGGAAAAAAATCCTCCTGGTCATAATCAACCAAAGATACTGGTGATATAAAAACAAAAAATGGATCTCTGTCTGTCCTCAAGAGGAGCCATACATATTTAAGGATATAGAGAAATAAACACACAGTCATTTTGGGAGAGAAGGCAGCTTGGGAGGATCATGTAAGATGGAGACTGAGATGAATCTTAAAGGTAGGGATTCTGTAAGGCTGAAAAGAAGAGGGAATGCATTATAGGTATGGGGGGCTTACTGCATTTTTATAACTGTGTCCCTAGTTTTTAACACAGTGCCTGATATAGAATAAGCACTTTAATGCTCTTTCATTGATACTGCTTTAAGGCTTTTAAGACAATTATATATGGTGTTATATCATTTATTACTTTCCATGGATACCAGACACATCTCATGGACTTGATAAGTACCATGAGGTTCACTAACCATATCTTATAATCCTAGTATATAGAGCAAAATGTCATAAAGTAGATGCCCAATATATAGTCAATTAAATCTAATTGGCTAAGTCAATTTTATGTACTTCTCATTAACTATCTTTTTTATAAAATCCCTCAAGTTAGGGAAAAAAGCTTTATTTTCAACATATTTTAGTGAAAAACAATGTAATACAAATAGAAGGCAAATTGTTATGGTGGAAAGAGCACTGGATCAGTATTCAGAGGACTTGGGTTTCTCTCTTGTCTATACTACATGTATGACTATGGGCAAGTCACAATGCCTCTGGGCCTCAGGTCTTTCATCCTTAAAATAAAGAGAATGGAGTAGATAAGAGTAGATAAGAAAGTTGTGGGCTAAGAATCTAGCAAGCATGGCACCCCCATAAAACAAAAAGAGTTAGAGAATGGTCCCCAGATTACTGGGTGGAGTCCTTGTGGAAAATTATTTTTTTTTTTAGGCAATTGGGGTTAAGTGACTTGCCCAGGGTCACACAGCTAGTAAGTGTCAAGTGTTTGGTCTGAGGCCAGATTTGAACTCAGGTCCTCCTGACTTCAGGGCCCATGCTCTAGCCACTGCACCACCTAGCTGCCCCCTTGTGGAAAATTAATGGGAAGACATGGACAAGTACCACAGGATTAAAGGAAAGAACAAGATCAATTTTTTTAATGCACGTTTTAAAACAACGGTCAAATTTCATAGTGTTAATTGGTAATTCTTTGAGTTTATAGGAAGTTTTTAAAGAATTCCAATTATCTCTTTTTATTTCTGTCGTGGCTAACAGTAGTTCACTGAATTCTTGGATTAATATCAGAATATTTTGTGCAATATATTTTCCTTTTCCTCTAAAACATAACTACAGATAGTTTCCAATTTCGCTATTTGAAATTCCACTACTTAGTTCATTCAATATAACTTACTTATAATCACTATTTCAGTTTTTTCTTACTGTTACTTGTCCTGTTCCCCGTTTTAACAATGTAATAGCTACTTAGTGGCAAAACTAATAGCTAGCATTTATATTGTTCCTACTATGTTCCAGGAACTATATGAAGTGCTTTACAAATAGTGTCTCATTCAATTTTCTCAACACTGGGATATAAGTGCTATCATTATCCCCATTTTACAGTTGAGGGAACTAAGCCAAACAGAGATTAAGTAACTTGCCCAGGATCACACAACTATGAGGCAGGATTTGAACTTGGGTCCAGACTAGAGACCAGTGCTCTATGCACTGCATCACCTAATTCCCAAAACCATTTGATTTTGAATGGACTTCATGTTCCACGAAAACTCAAGAGAAAAAGGCTCTCAAAGTGTATGTGCATTTATGTATTCCTCTGCGTGTGTGTACATAAAGCTGTTTTTAAGGAGACTCTGGGACATATACAACATATTCAACATGACCCTCTTTAATTAAATGTCTGACTATTAGATAGATTGTAGTTCAGTGTTGCAATTCCATTTGCTAAAAGTATTATACTATACAACCACCATAAAACACCCTCCCCCAAAAAGTCTATGTAGGATGAAATTAAGTAGATATATATAAACTCCCAGGGTAATGGCAACTGATCCTGCAGATTATTACTGAAGATTATATTTAGTGAAGATGAAAATATTACACTTATCTCTCATTCTAATCTATCCCTGGTTTATGGACCCAAAGCCTACAAGGAATGTCACAAGTCTCTATGATGCTTCCTTTGGGCTATACTTTGCACTGGAATTTGAATGAAGAGAATAATTTCAAGAAGTGAGGCTAAGGAGAAGAATGTGTTTCAGGCATGGGAGCCAGTTATGTGTTTTGTGTGCTTAATGTTAAAATTCATTTCTCAATTTTGGTATAACTAAATACTACATAGTAACCTATGGCAAGTACGTACTAACTTACTGGAGCATATATATAACCACATATATTCACTTTATTTAGAGGATGCAACATGACAGATACTATTACTATTGCAAAAATTTTAAAAACTTTTTAAAAGCCCAGCATGTTTTATACTATGTAATAGGCCATTAAATGCTACATTTATCTATGTAAAAATCTATCGCTTCCTTGCATAGTTTAAAAATAAGTATACGAGAGTTATCTGGAGTGTATCATCATTGTGTCAAAGCACTTAGACCATTAACTAAACAAATAACTTCAGTCCTACAACTGAAAAATCCCAGACATTGCAGCAAAGGAAAAGGCTTTTAGAAAGGTGAGAAGCCTTTATTAAATATGCCCATGTAATAGTCCATTTTATTAACAAAATGACATTTTACTACTTGTAGCCCAAAGTTCTAATATTGACATACCTCCCTTCTTCACATATTACTTTGTTTTTTCCTATAATCTTTACTAATAGTTATATCTCATATTATTAAAATTATAAATTCAACAGTTTAGAAGCTAAGTTACTATAAACTCGTAAAAGTGGCTTAAATAAGAGGCAGTGGTAACTTTCTTCTTATCAAGCGAAATAAGGCCTGTGTTTGTCTCAATTTCTTCATCTGTAAAATGGGGATAATAATAGCACCTACTTCCCAGGGTTCTATGTTGTGAGGATCAAACAACAGTCATTGTAAAGTGCTCAGCATAGAGTGTGCCACATGATAAGTGCTATCCCAATGTTAGCTATTATTATTGTTATAATTATTATTATCATCAAGTTCATTCATTGCCACCATATCTCAAAGTATTTGAGTGTGTGCAGGTTGGTGAAGGAAGGAGTAATATTTTTTACAAGGAATTACGGATTTACAACTTGTCCAAAGAAAGTATTTTAGGAAAAGGGATAACTATTTCTAAAACTCTCTGGAATCCAAAAAACCACTTGTCTTGAACTTCTACCTGTAGGATAAGTAAGCTACTTTTAAGACTATTCCTCAGTATGAGTAAGTTCTCTTGATCAAACTAATTTGAACATTTAGCAGTAGGAAGAAATATGTAGCATTAGAAATTTCTAAAACTATAATCTTACCTATACTGTGATAATGCCATCGAAAGAAAATCCTTTCAGGTAGTAGCTGCAAGATCTTCTGCATAAAACAAAAATATTAGTTATTTTATAAGATATCATAAGAAACCAGGTAACAAAAACAATTACACAAACTAACTATAGGTTAACTATAAAGTTGTAAAATGATATTAAAGAAAATAGTATTTCTAATCAAGGAAGTTTTTTCTCCTATTTAAAAAGTAAACTTGATCCCTCATCAAGGATCATAGATCAACCTCACCTCAGATGCACACTTGAATGGTCATATCCTTGATCTTACCATCATTACCCTGAAGCGTTCCACTTCTCCATTCATGAATTCTGAACTTCCCTTATCTGATCAGAATAGGTTGTCATTCTATTCTCCCTCTGCCCTGCAACCCAAACCTTGTTCTTCATCCTCACTGTGATTTCCCCAAACACTCCCATTCTGTCTCCTTAACTGAATCTTCCTCCAGATCACAACATCCTCTAACCAAAGAAGTCCCTCAGGGATCTATCCTGGGCTCTCTTCTCCTTCTGTACTATACTTCACTTGGTGATCTCCTCAGCTGTCATGGATTTAACTACTGTCATTCTATGCTGATGACTCTCAAATCTACTTATCCTGCTTCTAATCTATCTGCTGACTTCCAGTCTTGCATCTTCAACTGCCTTTCACATATCTTGAACTAGTCTAATCCAGTAAACATCTTAAATTCAATATGTCCAAAACAGAACTCATTATTTCTTCCCCAAAACCTCTTCATACCTTCCCTATTTCTGTAGAGGGCAACACCATCCTCCTAATTCCTCAGACTTGTAACCTGTGAGTCATTCTGGATTCCTCATTATCCCTCATTCCCCGAGCCAATCTGTTGCCAAGGCCTGTTGATTTCACCTTTGCAGCATCTCTCAAATACACCCCCTTCTCTCGTTTGACCCTGCCATCACTCTAGTACAGGCACCTCATCACCTCAAACCCGGACTATTCTAACAGCCTTCTGGTAGGTCTGCCTGCCTCAAGTCTCTCCCCACTACAATCCATCCTCCATTCAGCAACTAAAGTGACTTTTCTAAAGCCCAGGTCTGAACATGTCACCTTCCCCTCCACACACACATACCCTACTCCATAAACTCCAGTGCTGTTCTATTGCCTCTAGAATCAAATATAAAATGCTCTGTTTGGCATTCAAAGCCATCTACAATCAATGTCTCCACTTCATTTCTCCTAACTCTCTTCTTAACTCTCTATAGTCTGTATTCTGATTTTATGTGATTCAGTTGAAACTGCTTTCTTCAAAGTTGCCAGTGATCTTTTAACTGCCAAATCTAATGGTCTTTTCTCAATCCTCATCCTTCCTGAACTCTCTGTAGCCTAGACTCTGTTGATCACCTTGAAACTCTCTTCCCTTCGCCTTCTCCTCCCACATGACTGCTCCAATCCTTTGCTGAATATTCATCCAAATCATACTTTGTTTATATTGGGAGGAAACATGGTAAGTTGAATAGATGCTATTCTTGGAGTCAGAAAGAGGAGCATTCAAGTACTAGCTCTGACACAGGTTGACTATGGAGCCTAGTAGTATCCTGGCGACTCTTCAAGACAATATTTTACCAATTAGTTGCCAGTCTAGATCAGTGGAGGGAATGTTTCAAGCAAGGAGTTTCCTAAATAGGTAAATTCATAGTTCTAACCTCACTCCTAAACAACTCTATATTAAACATTTTTCTCCCTGTTAGTGAGAATCAGATCTAAAATAGAATTGCCTCTTGTTAATTTTTCCACTTCACAAAGGATGAAATTATTAATAAGGTGACTGTCTCCCAAGGCTCTTGGACCCTCTTTTCCTATCCTGCTCAGGGTAGGGAACCTACAGCCTTGAGACCACATGTGGCCCTCTAGGTCCTCAAGTGTAGCCCTTTGACTGGATCCAAACTTCACAGAACAAATCCTTTTAGTAAAGATTTATTACTGTCACTTGGCAATCTCATCTACTCCCAAGCATTCAATTATCATCTCTAAGCTCATGATTCTAAGATCCACCTATCCAATTTTAACCTCTCTTTCTAATCTCTAGACCTCCTAACCTCGAGCTGCTTACTGGATATCTCACACCAGATGTCCCATAGACATCTTAAATGCATGTTCAAGTTTAAATGCATTATCTTCCTCACCTAGCCCTCCCTTCTTCCTATCTTTCCTATTACTTTGGAGGACACCATTATACTCCCAATCACCCAAACCAGAAATCGAGGTATCACGTGGGACTCCTTACTGTACTACACATACACACACACACACACTAATCAATCTGTTGCCAAATTTTATCAATTTTACCTTCATAATAATTCTCATATAAGTGTTCTTTTCTCCTCTGACACTGTCATCATTCTGGTGCAGGCCTTCATCACCTCCAGTATCAACAATTACAAAAGTTCTCTGGTTGGTCTCCCTCACTCAAATCTCTACCCATTCCAGCCCAACCTTCATTCAGCTGTCAAATTGAATTTTCTAAAGAGCACCTAGTTATGCTTGATTAATTCAAATTACATAGCTCTAAAGTAGGGCTAAGGTAGAAAGAAGGTCCTAATGTAGAAAGAAGGAGCAAATAGCTACACCACTGTCAGTAATATTGGAGACACACTGGAGAATGGATGAAGCAGCACATAACTGGAGAGGGCAATTATCCCAATTTTCAAAATAAGGGAAAAGAATAGAGTCTGAAACCTATAGGCTAGAAGCATAACTTCAACTTCCCAGTCTCCCCTAACCTGCCCAAATCCCAATGGGCCAACCAGTTCACCAGAAGATGCCATTTTCCTTTACCTTACCTTTCTCTCCTGACCCAGAGTTCCCTAGATCTCATGGGGAAGATGGGTGGAAAGAGTAACATGGTTCTTCAAACCACCTGGATAGCTGGGAGTCAACTCTAATCTTTCCAGTGAGACAGAGGACCATCAGATCAAGACTTACCATCTACCCATTCTTTATTTTCCTAATGTTCTCAAAGCCTTACTAGCTGTCCTGGTTTTCCTCTTACCAGACCCCTAGACATTTATCTGGCCTACTGATGCCCTAGGCCCTATCATTCTTCCTCTCATACATTCACCCCCTTATATACTCAATGATCACCACCCTATTTCAAACTCTAATCATCTCTATCTAGACTATTGCGATAGCTTCCTAAGTGGCCTCCACGTGTCTACTGTCTACTCTTTCCCCTCAGTAATCCATTTACACAGCTGCACAGTTAATACTGGGGAAGGAAATGGCAAACCACTCCAGTACCTTTGCCAAGAAAACTCTAAATGGGATCACAAAGAGTCAGACATGATTGAAACAAATGAACAACAAAAAATTAATATTCCTAAAATACAATACCAAGAGCTTCCCTCCCCTGACCAATAATCTTCAGTGGCTCCCCATTTGGCTACCAAATGGAATACAAAAACTTTAGCTTGGTATTTAAAGCCTTCACTCTATACTGGTCTAAGAGCTATTCCCCACATAACATTTTATTTCCTACCTTCCTGCCTTTGCACAGGCTGCCCCCACAACTGAAACATACTTCCCTCTCGCCCAAGTGTTAGAATCTGCAGCTTCTTTGTTTTTTTTTTTAATTTATGGAATAAAACAAGCATTTCCATAGCATAGTACAATAAAAAAAAAAAGATGATTGTACCTGGAACTGCAAATCTACTATGCACAACTGGCTATTCCTTTCAAATATACAATGGAATTATCACGTAAATTTCTTTCCCACCCCCACCCCCAAGCCACTCTGGTACCATTTCTTATGCAAAGCCTTCCCTGATCCCACCAGTGGTTAAAGTTGTATTACAAGTATTAGGAGCTGTCCCAATGAGGACCCAATTGAAAATGGGCAGTTGGGCAATACAGCTTCCTTCCTTCTTTTCTACTCTCCCTCCCTTCCCTCTGACTACATAGGGTATCATACCCTAACCAGTGAGTGCTCTGCCCAAAGAAATGTAAATTTTGAACCCTGAAACCTTGAAAAATATCTTGGGGCTTTTCTTGAGGACCAAGCCTTAAACCCAAATCACTCAGGCTCCCGTAGACTGGACAACAATGGGTCCGAGCCCAAGCCCCACATGGTCATAGTTTGGTACCTGATTGCTCCGAGTGAATGTAAATAGCAATTGTTTCTGTTTTTGGCCAGAAACCCTGAGGGTCTTCCCCTCCCAAATTGATTTTTTTTTTTTTTTGGCTAGTAAAAGAGACCATTCTCAGTCTCATTTCTTACCTAGCCTTATTTACTGAATGGGCACTGCCTCAGTCAAACTGAGACCTGTTATAGACCGTAGCTTAAAAAGGCCAAGGTCTCCCACTGCATCCAAGGCATCTAGTCATCCTGATCTATATCTTGCTACTGGACCCAGATGGCTCCAGAGGAGAAAGTGAGGCTGGTGACTTTGCACAGTCCTGCCTCACTTAAATCCAATTCACTTGCATGTCATGGCATCACCTCCCTGACATCATGGTCTTCTGGAATGAAGGATGAACAACAACAACAATGTTCTCTTCCACTTCAAATTACCAGTTACTTATCTGTGGACTGACTGTATTTCTGCTTCTGCTCCCAAGTTAGCTACTCAAGGGCAGGAACCGCTTTTCATTTTTTTGGTTTTTGTATTTGTAAACCTATTGTCAGACACCAGGCTAGAAGGCAGGGAAGAGTGACAATACCTCCACTCTGGGAGCTTTTAAACTAATAAGGATAAGATACCAAAAAAAAGTTAAAGCATTAGATTGATTAGATCTAATTTATTAGATAAATTAGAATGATTTATAACAAAATGCTACATAAGATCCTAGAAGGAAGATCATTACCCAACAGAAGACATCCACCACATTTGGGTTGGCACTTACAACGTAGAAAGAAGAAACATTCAATGTACAGGGAAGAGCATGGAAGTACATAGGTTGAAGAGCAGAGAGATGGTTCAGGAGACATAGTCAAGCTTTAATGAAACATAAGGCTTGTGGAGACAGATAATATTAGGTAATTAAGGAAAGGCAGGATAGTTCTCAATCAG